AAAAAATATCATAAATTTTATACTATACATTAATATTTATTAAATTATATAAATTAATTTTAGAATAAAGTAGAATTAATAATAATATAATGCGTGTAAAATCAGGTGAGCAGGTCACCGACTTCAAACACATGTTCCACCCAAATAAATAATAATAAATAATATAACAGGACTTGAAGGGCCACCTGAGCCAAGTCCTTTTTTTACGGAGCTTATCATGTCTAAGCTCTTTATTAAAAAAATTATTTTTAAAGCTCAAACCTTATTTAAATAGAGCTTTCAAGCCCAGGCCTCTAAGCCCTGCCTTTATTCTCGGTTCTATTTGTAGTAGGTATCTGATTTGTCACGTTAGGTATTAGCATTATGGCTTTTAATTTAAATAGTTTTGATTTCAATAAATCAATAGTTAACAGTTGACGTGTATACTTAACACCTGCCTTGATATTATTAACCTAGCTAACCTTTGTATGAAAGTAATGCGTGCACATAATACTCATAACTTTTCTCGAGGCCCAGATGCAGTTAAAGCTCCATCTATGAATGGATAAAATTTTTGGTATTAATGTATACAAGTTTTTGAACGTGAAGGCGCAATGGTTAATTTCTTGTTGTATCAAGAGAGTTGATATTGTTCCTTTATTTTTTAATAGTCTCTTTTTCTTTATACATCAATTTAGTATTTACGTCAGCATTCTTCATAATTATACTATTATTTTAAAATGTGAAAAAATATTAGAGTTTCATACTTTTTGTTTCTTTTTTATTAGTTCATTTCATCAATCATTCTTGATCTTTTGAAATGTTAAATAAAAAAATAAATACTTAAATTATAGTCTATCGCATTTTAGGAGACGAGTAAAAACTTAAAAGTAAAAAAAAAAAAAAAATCTCTACAATTTTTAGATAGGATGGGAACATATGTAGCCAAGTAGACCAAGGCAATCCACCATGCACGTCATTCGCCCATCACTAAGTTACTGTTATTTATTTTTATGCTTTTGCGTTAAATTTTTTTATTTTTAAAATGCTTATATGAACTCAATTCATTATTTTAGTATAATAATTAGAGCCAAAGGAAAGAGGTTTTTGGGATGCGGGAAAGTAGCAATTGTGGTTTTTTAATACACAATATTTCTTTTTCTTTCTTTGCCTTTTGCATTGAAAGAGCAGATAAAAAAGATTATACAATTCAATCTCAAATCCATTTGAATGTAGCAAATAACTATGGGGCCTGTGAATTGATGTGTATTTCAATAATAAGAATTAGTAATCAACAGTAAGCCTGTATTGGTGTTGTTATCCTTGCTGTTATCAAGGAGGCTGTACCGAATATGTTGTTAGAAAGATCAAAAGTGATTGGAACTACAATTGTATGCACTTGTAAAAAATTCAAATATAATAACAATCTGATAATACAATATGATGATAATGTTGTTGTTGTCATTGATCAAGAAGAAAATCCAAAAAGAACTCAATTTTTTCACGCGATCACCCAAGAATTGAGACAGTTAAATTTTACTAAAATAGTTTCATTAGCTCCCTAATTATTTTAAGACAAGACTATAATATGCATAATATATTTATAAAATTTCAATGGAATAGATTAATTAATAGGTTGATTATGTATTTTAAAATTATTATACATATAAGTACAATAATTTTTTTTGTTGCCTCTGAAAATTTATGCAGCTAAGAATTAAATCCATTGCATTGCACCGGACCATTCTAGCACTAAATTGTAGGAAGATATTTTAGCTTTTAAAGAGCAGGATGCATAATTGAGAAAAGAACAATACTATTTAAAAACATCATTTGATGTAACTAATTCATGGCAATTATTAATGACAAGGGTCAATCCATAATAATATAAAATTAGCTACTGATAATATAATTTGATAAGACTTAAAAACAATAATAAATAGTTGAAAAGGTGTGCACGTTGCATTTGCACGACTATAACTTGTAACAAAATCATTTTCTCGATTTAAGCATGTTATCTTCGTGCAACAAATCTATCTTGATGCCACTGAATCATATTTGTGTGCGTTTTTTAGTAATAAAAGAACTTGTGAAAAATATCACTCTATATTGTGCCACCAAACAATTTCCAACTTTCCTAATGCATTATAAATGGCGATTGGGTGCTGATAATATACACAATTAGCACTAGGCAAACGGGTTATGGACCAATCCGCACGGGTTGATATTTTTGCTAGTTGAGTTGGGCCAACCCGTCAAATAAAATGAGTTGAAAAATTCAACCCAACCCATTTTCTAGTGGGCTAGCCAACCCCGGGGTAGGCCACAAAAAATTATCAATTTTTTTAATAATTTAAAATTTATATAATATAAATATATATATTCATTTCATATTTTAAAGCAAATTAGTAATTAAAAAACTTGTAAATAAATAAATAAACATAGAACTCAACCAACAAATTCATTTTGCTAGATTTTTACTATCACTCATTTTCTCGCCTAGGTGTGCTATTTTTGTCATTGAGAAAGAAAATTTGAATATAAACTCATATTATTTTTCTCAGTTAATTCATATTTATAATTTCAATTAATAAATCTTATGAGATTAATAAATAATATATATTCAAAATATTTTTTATAAAAACTAATAAATCATCTTCATAAACTATACTAAAAATTTTATTTGCAAATTGTAAAAAAGATTTACACTATATTTGAAATATAAAGAACATATTTGAGAATTATAAATTATATATTTAAGAAATATTATCATTATTGTAAATTTATAAAAATATATAACATAATTAAAAAATAAAAAATAATTTTTTTAAATACGCTAGCCTGCGGGCCAGCCCGTTTTAACCCGCTAATTTTGCGGGTTGGGTTAACCTGATAGGTGCTCAGAATAACTAAAATAAAATAACTCTATTAGGATGATATAGAACAAGAATCTCGTTCTATATTTCTCTTAATAGCCACACTCAGGAGAATCTCCAAAGGGTTTAAAAGACTATTTTATTGATAAACTGATATGATAGCTTCTAAGTTGCTAGTCATATTTATAATGCTAAATACAATCTAAAATAATGGATAAAATCTAGATAACTAGATAACTAAATAATGTCTCCTATAATCTAAAATAACTAAATAACTAAATAATATCTCCTATAATCTAAAATACTGAATAAAATCTAAATGGATAAACTACTAGATTTAAATAAAATCTAAAAAATAAAATCTGACTAAATAAAATACTAAATCTAAAGAAATATCAAATACTGAGCAAAATAAACAATGAAATCAATCTGAATTTATCTTTTGACGCTTTCTTCTTGGATAAGTCTTCATGGGAATATTATCTGGAATCTTATCATAACCCAACCCGTTTTAAAAAATGAGTCAATTTTTTCAACCCAATTCATTAAATTATGCGAGTTAAACGGGCTAACCCGCTGGCCTAACTCATTTTTCCAGCTCCATACACAATGCATTCAAACGGCCCCAACAAAGGCTGGTTACTACTGATCAGAACTATGTAAAGCTAAATAAAATTGTCAGTACATTACTGCCTCGGCAAAGATGTAAAAACTCGAGCTATTTCTGTATACTGTACACGTTCATCAGCATCACCAACACCTTGGCCTCCACAATCAGTTTTCATGGCAAAGGTTTGTGTATGCCATAGTCAAACTGGCGAGTCAAGTAACACTTGGCCTTCTGTCTATAATTCCATCCAGAGCTGCTGCTGCGGAATGAGATGGCGATTCTTTATTCCTCTGTGACATCATCTCCTCGCCAATCCCAACAGAGCCAGCCATCAACTGAGGATTTCACGTAAGGTAAGGCATATTAAAGAGACATTAAGCAACGAAGAACTAGCAGGTTCATATAACTTCTTTCAGCAATAGCGTATGAGCCAGCCCAAATACATTAACAGAAATTGGACCAAGTGTGCCCTTCTTGCACAGATGGTTTCTGTCAGGAAGATCACATATAATTACATTGCCAAGGGGAAAAAATACATACTGAAAAAGAAACTCAGAAATACCAGCAACTTTGTTGCAATTTACAAACCCATATGATGATTTATATTTTAATGTGAAACATGCAATGCATGCATTAAAAAGTAGAGCTTCCAGGATCAGCCAGATATTCCTGTTCCGTTGTCTTCTGCCTGCCTAGCAAATCAATTGCTGTATGCAGAACCACTTGATTACTAAGGCCAATACAGAATGATCCCACAATTAGGAGGCGTTTGGTAGTAAAAAGAAGTTACGTAACAGTATCAGTCTTTTATTATTACCATTTTTATCTAGAAATCAAAGAACGTGCTTAAATTATAAGATCATTTTCTCAATTCCACCTCATTTTTTTGTTCTATTTCTTTCTTCCTATTAAACAATCCTTTGATAGTCAATGAAAGAAAGTAAAGCAGGAACTTGAAAACCTCTAAACACAGCAGAAAAGCAGTAAAATTATTAACATACTGCTGCTTCAGAATACCTTCCAATCTTTAAAGTCAAATCTGAAGACGAAGTGACTGTGAGAAACTTCCCCAGAAAGAACTGCGTTTGCAGCAGGAGCGTTTCTCGGTACTGACATAAAGCAAGTGCATGAAGAAAAGTTATAGATAATATCGTTCAAGAGATAAATAGACATAGACAGTGGAGAGTGAGAGTATTATAAGAATTTTCAAAGTTACTTACAAACTATATGGCTTCCATTCTCATTCACTTTTATTTCGGCCCTCCCATCTTTGACTGAAAAGGAAAGAGCAAATAAATTCTCCACTGTCTGGGCAAAAGAGTTCCTATTCAATACCAAATTTTCAAGTTTGACAATTCTGTTTTTCCTCAAGATATTAAACATGGTTAACATGTTTTCATCAGTATCAGCTATCTTTTCCCTGGAAAAACCATCAAGCTGCAACAAGGGGCAATTAAATTGGGAAACTGAGATAATTAAGACACGATAACATAACAATGACTAGTTGTGCATCCTAAAACTGTAAAGAAAATGAGATGCATGTGCGTGTTAAAATCCTTGATGATTTATTTCCATAGTAACTTCAGACACAATGCAATTACACCTTTATTATGTTCTAACTATAACAAAATGTGTAACAAAGGGGCAGAAGATTAGAAGGAAGATTACAGCATTGGCAACTAAAGATAACAATCTACACATGAAAGAAAGGTCTGACAAAATTTAAACCTCTGCCCAACAATTTGTGTCTAGAAAGAACTGGAGACTGTATGTTTTACCTCTTCTGGCCGAGCAATTTTAGTGGGTCTCATTCGCTTTCTTTGATTAATAGTCTTCCTCTGATTTATTTCAGTATCCATGGGGCCAATCCTAGAGAAGAAAAAATCGAAAATGAATATCCAAAGGAATGTTCAATATGACAACAAATAACAGGACTAAGAACCCTTAACATTACATGGTGCAGCACCCGGCACCTCCTTTGAAAACACATGACACAGCAACTCCAATATCCTTCCAAAATATTGAGTTCCTGCAGTCCTGAGCGCTAGTATTTGATCCACACCGTTCTCCAAATTCGCTAAGGATACGCAAGATAAAGTCTGAAGGAGTCAAGCCATCACTGATGTGAGCTTTCACAGTCGATGCCAAGCACTCCGTGATGTCCAGAAGAGCTTTTGCATCAGCCACTTGTTCTCTGGGTTTTCTAACTGAATGCAGGGAGCACAGGCACAATAACAAAGAATAAAATCTTATATAACTTTTATCATGAAACAAGAGAGGCAGCAACCATATACGACGACATTTGATGCCAACAAAGGGAAAAAATTCATAGGGACTCAAAGGTCATCAAATGTTTATTTGTTATCATAAATTTATTCAATTCCGTTATTTTAATCATATCCAAAACAACCAAGACTGCCCTTCAACGTCATGAAATCATGAAATGCTGTCGATATCCAAATTACGGAAAACTTTATACCTCGTTGATTTAAGCTCTCCAAGTCTCTAAAGATCAAATCAAACTTGTCAGAGTGAGGCCTTGTAATGTCTTCCCTTTCATCTGCAAAACAAAATAGTAGACTGCTATTTAGTAGTTGGTGAGGAAAAAAAGGAGTCAACAAACACACGGAATCTGGATTTTTAAAGTAGGTTTCGTTAACCACTCAATCAAGAGTAACCATCGCGATAACTAAAAAAGTAGCAACGGACAGCAAAAATAATCACAGGGAATTAGAAGTAAAATCGTGCGTTCGAGACTTGGGGTCCAAGTTACGGTGTGAAATCATAAATCAAACACGGACAATGCAGCGAATATGAAGAAAGAGATAAATATAAACAAATTACCGTGAATAAGGGTCTTCACGAACTGGTAGCGAGAGCGAAGATCTCTTCGTTCTTCGTTGCTTTGAGAAGCAGAGGCGGGGGTAGCAGGCGCTTCAAAACCAACCTTGCTAGCGCCCAATTCATATTTCACAGGCCTGACCATCTTTGTGTGATTCCTCTCTCTCAATTTTTCCGGATTTCAGATGTAATTCAGCGCAATTCGAATTTTCGGGGTGCAGGCAGAAGTTCCGAAGCCTAAATACGTAAAGAGGAAGATCGCAAGCCGTTTTCATATACCCTGTTTTTTTAACACACACACAAACACACCCACACCCCCTTGTGAAAGAAATTTGTGCTCCTTTTTTTTTTATTATTTCTTTCTTTCTTTATTTTAAATCCTTTGTAAAGATATGAAAAATGAATACGCGTATTCAAAGAACATGATGTGCAGAACTTGCCCAGAAAAAAATTAAAAAAAATATCAATAAAAAATCATTAAAATAAATTTATATTAATCAATAATCACTTGTTATAAAAATTAAATGAATAATTGTTAATTTGAATTAGTCTTTCATTAATAAGTATTCATTTAAATTTTAATAATAATTTATTTTAAATTAATAATAATTTATTTAAATTTTAACAATAATCAATCTTTTGAGAGATATAAATTTTCTTGGCGATCCTTGATTAATATTTTTTTAAAAATTTAATTTTGGCAGAATATTATAATATAAAATTTATAGTGATAATTACATTGTTTATAAGCGGCTGACCTGACGTTTTGTATCACATATAGCAAATGCGTGTAAGAGAAATAGACGCAAGAAAATTACCAACTCATGTTATTTATGACTTTTAAATGCTGACAATAATTGTGATATTTTATATTAAAAAATTTATAAAAAGTTATATAATTTACAAATCACATTATACTTTTCCAGCGCTTTACATGACTTTTCATTTTGTATTTTAGTCTTCCTTTATACTTTCCACTAGAGATATATGTTTTCTTCCAATCTTTTTCTGGATATTTTAACACGGTTTAAGTGTTGAAAAAGTGGGTACAATTTAATTGAAAAAAATAGAATCTCATTTGTTTCAGATACGGGAAAAAAAAAAAAAGCAGACGTCTAATCTAATCTAGTTTACATAAAGCTCCTTCAAGCAGCATTTCAAAAGATCAGGATCATATAGACTACCTCTGTTATCAATCAAGAATAAACGTAACTAAGTGTAGTTGATATTTGGAAAATAATTTTTCCTGTTTTACTCGTAATTAGTATAGGTATTGGTCTTATAAAAAAAAATACAGGTATTGGTCATAGTCCACCATAATTTATTGTTTTAATTCCTTTATTACTCTAATTTATTGCTCTACGTTAGAGGATATTCCCGACATATGATTTATAGTTTTATACTTTGTATCGGAAAAAAAATTATTTATACTACCTTCAAAATACAGTGAACAAAATAAATTATGTCCAGTGAAGTAAGTATTCTTTTCACTTTTGCTTATCATTAAAAGAATAGTAATATTTGTTTTATGTAGAGTGGGAAACTTTGAGAATTGGGAAATTTTATATAAAAATATTTTTCAGTCCAGCCTGTTTAAACTCTAGAAGAAAAAAAAAAAATCTAAAACCAAGCTACTCGTCTAAACTCATATTTAGTTTAAGTCTAAAAAAGTGGGGTATTTTAAATTTTTAAATTGAATATAGATTTTGAAATATATGTTTTAACTTTAAAATTAGTGTTCATACTATTTATTTTATATTTTAGAATATTATAATTTATATCTTGGACAATAAAAATAAAATATTATAATATCAAAATTAATTTTAAAAAAATAAGAAATAACTTTTGAGCATGAGGGTGAGTCCAATTTATAAGGTTTGAGCTTAAAGAAATGGTCGATCAACTACTCTTGCACTTGAAATTGGGTAAGTAACGGTGACAGAAACAAGATAGGAAGGGTGGGGGTCAAATTTAAAAGGAAAAATTGCATATTGGTTATATGGAGTAGATCTATTTATAAATATATTCTGCAAAATTTAAAAATTACAGTAAAGTTCTTAGGACTCATTTAAAATTAAAGTGCAAAGACAAAATTATCTTTATTAAAAATATTTCAATCAATGAATTTATAATTATTTCAGTAGTGATCTACAATTATCATCTTAATTTTTTTACAATTATAACTTTACATATTTATTATTTAAATTGATCATGCACTTCAAGTTTACTATTAATTATATACAATTACCTCATCAATAACTTACAACTATCACTTTAATATTTTACAATTATAACTTCACATATCTAAATAATTAAATTAATCATTCATTATTAGCAAAGTTTAATACTAATTATTTATAATTATCTCATTAATAATTTACTACTATCAATGAGCAGCAATTTACAACTATCACTTCACTATTTTATTACTATAATTTTACACATTTAATTATTAAATTGATCATACATTACCAAAATTTTTTTAACACTAATTATTTACAATTACTTCATTAATAATTTACAATTATAATTTTAACTTTTTACTATCGTAACTTCATAAATTTAATAAGTAAGGATGATATTGTCTTTATATTTTAATTTTAAATTATACTTAGGTCTTCAGAGACCTGGCTGTAATTCTTAAATTTTACAGGATTTATTTACAAAATAAGTTTGCCTCACAAGACCTGTACATAATTTTCCTCATTTAAATATATGTTATTATATTAAAATATTTTTATAATATGAAAAAAAAAATCACAAGATAAAAGTAAAAAAAATTAAGGATCAAAAATTTCTGTGAAGTATATATAAAAGATTACAAATTACCTAAATTCAATAATAGATTATTATTTATATATCTAAACCTAAAAAAGTTTATTCATTTATTTTTTTATTAGTAGGGCCACAATTGAATTTTTTAATACTTTCCTTCCTCCTTCCTTTCTCTCTCTCACCCTCCCTCTCCTTTGATTTCTCAACCCCTTCCTTCCTTCACTTACTTCTGCCCAGCTTTATCGTCATGCCTGTCCAAAGTACGTCGTCATCGCTGCTCGCACTCTCATTTCCACCATGATAAGGTTGTGCTTCAAGACTCAAAGCTGTCGACCTGTGTAAAATATGGCCGTCATGCCTACCACATGTCGCACGCGGATGGAAGTTTTTTTGCACCTATAAACTATTTACTATTTTTTATATAAGGAAACTACATGTATGCGAATGGAAGAGAGAGAGAGGGAATGGAGAAACATGTATCAGGTCCAACGGGGATGAGGGAGATGGCACACACTTCCTCTCTCCTCCACTCCTCATCGAACAAATTCTCTCTCTCTCTCTCTCTCTCTCTCTCTCTCTCTCTCTCTCTCTGTGGTAGCGGTCACACTCCCTGTTCAAGCACACACTCTCTATGCATAGGGCGAACGTGATGCCGCATTGGGGGGGGGGAGGTACAGGAGGTTTGGGAAGGTGAATGAGGCCACGAGGGAGGGAGAGGGAGACGAGGGCGAGGGAGACGAAGAGTGTGAGAAACACAGTGCATGCGTGTGTGTTCAACCCAACCAAGGAGGCTAGCGACAGTGCAAGCGAGCGTGCATGGGTTCAACCCAACTGAGGAGGCATCCATGCTCATCTGGTCCAGCCCATCCGTAGCCAATTGCCAAAGCTGTCATGGTATTGGTGAGGATGAGGACCAAAGAGAGGAGGGAGAGAGAGAGAAAGTGAAGGAGAGAGAGGGGAGAGGGAGATTGAATCGAAAGGGGAGAGATAGGGGAAGAGGGGGAGTGAGAGACGAGAAGGGCAAGAGGGAGGGGACGATGGAACGAATTGTAGAGAGAGGGAGAAGGAGAAAGGAGAGAGAATGAGAATTTAAAAAGAACAATGTGGGTCCACAAACAATATTTTTTAATAAAAAGATTAAAAACTTCATATATGGCCCTGCTAACAAAAAAATAAATGGATAAAATTGCAGGATAACAAAACAATTTTTGTTTAAAATTAAAAGATATAAATAACTTATAGTTAAATTTATGGTCATTTACAATCTTTTTTATATATTTTAAAAATATTTTTGACCCTTAATTCAAAGTAATAAGTGTATGTATTAAAAACTCTTTTGGACAATTTAAATGACTTTTAAGAAAAATTATGTTTAAATAGAAGTATTTTGATCAAATATATGTGATTTAATAATTAGATAAAAACTGGATTGTAAGTTAAAATCTTAGAAGTAAAAAGTAAATGCACTAAAAATTCTTTTAGGTAATTTAAATGATTGTTAGAAAATATCTATATATAAATAGAAGTATTTCAATCAAATGTATGTGATTTAACAATTAAATAATAAGTGGACTAATAAATTAAAATCTTAGAAGCAGGAAGGGGATTTGTCTTTTGTAACTATTGATTTTGTGAAGGGTTTGAGTAGATTTTTAAAATAGAAGACATGCATATGTAATTAAAATAAAATAAATAAGAGCAGTCACAAGCGAGAGTTTGATTTAACAGAAGGAGTTAGTCTCTTATAATATAAAGAATTAAAATTTACTTTTTTTTAAAAAAAAATGCTTACATGTAATGCTTCAAATTGAATTGTCTCCGTTAAGAGAACACTTGTGAATAATAAAAAAATAAAATAGAAGACAGATCAATGTACTTTACTCACATACTACCTCCTTTTAATATTATAAAATATTTTTAATCGAGTTACACCTTTAATGAGTTAGTTAATTATTTTTAAAATTATACACTCTTTACATATTTTCTTATTTATTAGAGTGTCTCTATTAGAAAATTTTATTAATTACATCCCTAATTAAAAGTATTTTTTAGCATATTACATTATAAAAATATTTTATATTTTTTAATGGAAGGAGTAAATGTTAAGTTTTACTTTTTTTGTTGATAAAAAGGTAATATTTATTATGCATCAATAAAAAAAATTATAAACCAATATAGTGTAATATACAAGGGTATCCAGTGATGGATCCAAAAACATTCATGTGAGAGGCCAAAATACAAATTACATAATAATAAGGGGCAAGAATTAATTTTAACATTTTTTACAAGTAAAAATTAAGTAATTTTAACAAAAATTTTGTGGCATGCGGTGCTTGCCCGCCAAATCAATTAAAAATTTATAAAAAAAATCTATAATGAATATACAACGATATATTATTGATGAATAGAATAAACTAACTATAATGCATATAATATAATGAATATTAAATCATTTGCTTAGTGTAGTTATATAACATAAATTATATGCGCAAAAATCCCGATTAAATTGTAGTTAGAGGTTCAAGTAAAGGTTATTTTTTTTAAAGAATATTTTCATCCATGATAAAATTAAGTGGCCTGACTGATTTTAATTAATTATCTTTTTTTTTGAACGAAATAATTAATTATCTTTTAATATTTGTAAATTAGTTATATTTCTCTAATATTCAGGAGCCAATGCATATTTGATGAGTAAGGATTCCCTCTTCTTCCCTTCACCTCCGGGCTCCTCCTCCTCCTCTTCTTTTTAACCATTAGATCAAGATTTTAAAAAATATTAAAATATCAAGTTATAAAGATTATTATTTGATCTCCCATAAAACTATCATTAAAATATTAAGTTATTAAAAAATAAAAACATAAAATTCAAAATGCTAAAATTTAATATGAACAATTAAACAATAAAACAAAATAAAATATTTTATGTGAGATTAAATCTAAACTGTCCAGATCCTAGCTAATGGTTAAAAATTAAGATGAGGAGAAGAGAATGGGAGTTTGTCTTGTGTTTAGTTTTTCTAATGATTTTGATGGATTTAATGTAAAACTTAACACAGTACTTAACAGGTGATGCAGCGATTTACTACAGCAATATCTTCATCGCGCGGTTGATCCACCGGTAATCTTTGTTGCTAGCATCATAAATTGCCATTTTGATATGCTCTTAACTTCTTATCTCTTTTTTGGTTCCTTTTTGGAAGCAAAATATAATATATACAATTACGCTGCGCTCATCTTCCGATACACCTCTTGTCGCTCGAAAAGGAAGAATAAATTACTACTTCAAATAATATTTTCTTATGACTGATTCGGATCTTAGAATCAATCACACAACAAAACGGGTAAACTTTTGGTTATCTCAAATGGTTCATCCAAATATACCCCTCTCGGCAGCATGCCTGATGTTTCCTGGAGCACTCGTTAATTAAAATTTCCCACTCAAGCCACACCGACCTTCCTGGAGTTCTTTGAGAAGGTTTAGCTTTGACGTTGGCTTTACACATAAACTCTCGCCTGGAAAGGAACACCTGAGATGATAGCTTTATTATGCATATAAATTAACAGTGACTTGGCAGATAAAACTTCTCTTTGTAAATAATTGATCCATTTCATAAATGCTGGCACAAGTGATAGAATAGACTGCACTGCGTGATTTTGCAGCATCAGGCATGCTATTGATATGGGCAATCACTTACCACCCTTCACTCCTTTGAACTCTAATTTTTTTTTAACACAGATCAAAGTGGAAGTGATAGGAATTGATGCGGGACATGGAAATACTTGGAAGAGGTTTCTTTGCGATCGTCAGCAGAAACATGGTTGTGTAACTTATTGTGAAGGTTTATGAAATAGAGAGCTTGAGTTGCCATTTTCAGATTTATAGTCTGTGGCGGTCGGCCAGGGCTTATTGAAAAATGGGAATTATCGTCTTGCACTCCCTCCATCCCAAATTATAAAACACTTTTAGACAAAAACTCATATACTAATAAATTTTATTAAATACAATTAACAACCTTATCTTTTCAAAACAAAAATATAAACTTCTAAAAATACCCATCATTTAATACATTAAAAAGAAAAAGGATGAAAATTAATTATAGAGAGAGAAATAATAATATTGGAATTGGTACATTTAATGAAATTTTAATATATTCAAAGTTTCTTATATTTTGAAATGAAAAAACTCTTTCAAAAGTGCCATATAATTTGAGACGGATGAAGTATATGAAGTATTTAAGATGTGCCTGATAGATGGGGAGTCCTCATGTTCTTAATCGCCACCGAACACGCAATTGACATTTACTAAGAATAAAGAGCCAATTGACAGAAATGCATTACTGGAAAATGATTACTGGTCATTAAATACAGATGGGTCCTTTCAAGGCTTGCCCCTGGATTCATTCACAATTTCGCTTCCATAAAAATACCAGAGAGCTTAAATATTACCTTTGAAGAAGCTCGTTTCCCTCCGGCTACCCTCTCATCCAGTCTCCATTAACTGCCCATCCAATGGTGGGTGTTCTCCATCTGTAAACAAGGCAAATAGATCATGCTTATTGCAATCATCTATGAAAATAGACCGATGGTTCACGCACATGTTTATATATCCAAACAAGGCAAATGGATGGATGGATTCGCCTTTGTTTACACCCACCAACCTTTTATTTAAACTCACACCCCATTTATAGAGTTAACATTCTTCTCAAAATTTCAACCCAAAAGATTAAATTACTAGATATTCTGTCTATTCACATAATGCTAGTTTTCGCATCCCACCCCCTAAAAGAATGAAACAAGTTGGAATATTCAATATAATACAGCATGAATATGCTGACGGTATCTGGTCATTACCACTTTCACCATCAGATGCATCTGCAAGCCTCGCAATAGCATCAACAAGTGCCTGCTCATGCTCCTGCATGAACAACAATTAGAAAAGCAATAACATTGGAGCATGAATGTCAAGATAAAAAAAAACGGCAATAAGTTCAGAGATTATACTTTCAGCATATTCTTAGCTTTCTCAAGTTCCATAGGATCTGGTTGGCTCACAGCAAAAACCCTCTCCACCTGTTAAAGTAACCACACCACCATAAATGACAAATATTTCTTACTCCCCATGAAAATGCTTAAACATGCCACTCACCTCTTTAACCAGTAAATCTGTACTCAGCAACTCAAATTCATCCAATACTCTCTTCACAATGCCATTTTGCGGGGGGTGAAATTCTCTTCTGGGCTGAGCCTTCGGGTGTCCTCTCCCTCTTCCAGTACCCCTAGTATCAACACTGCGGCTAAAAGATTTCCTAACCCCATGGCCTTGCCCAATAGGACCACCCCTATGGAGTATGCCTGGATCTTCATCCCATCGTATATCCTCAGGTGATATCTATAACCAATCACGTATCAACATCCTAAAGATGGAAATTACCATCCTCTCGGAAAATCCTTGTTATTGCAGATATTCTTACTCATTAAATTTTAACTGACCACAGCTTCAACTTGATAATAACCAACAGAAAATTTAAATGCATATTACAATTCTGGAAATTCTCAAATTCTTACCCATTATCATTCATATGATAAATAACATAAGTTGAATCATTATTATATGCATTAACTACAAAAAAGAAAAAAGAAAAGGAAAGGAAATACTATATCCACTGGAAAAGTGACTCTAAACAACTTCAAATCATGGGGGCAATAAAATTCCATTTGAAAGAGAAATTCTAAATCCCTAAATATTATTAAATCTTATTTGAAGTTTTACACGGTATGCATGAGTAACTAGAAAGAAATTCCACAAGTTGCTTCTTATTAAGTACCAACATAACAAACTCCAAATGCTGTTGTATTATTATTTAAAAAGTCTGATTGACGCTCAAGCACGTGCAAACATTGGCTCAAGTTTGTCACCATTGTGGTCATATATGAAAGTAATGTATTGAGTCCTATTCTTTGTGTCCCGAGGCTTAATATTGTTGCATATTAATATATCTAGCGGTATTGCTGCACTGAAATTAGTAGCAAATAAATTAAAGTAGCATTTGTATTGATGGATTTAAATTTAAAATCTTACATTTCAATCACATGTGATTAAAATCCTTTGTTTGGGCAGTTTAAAAAATTTAAAATGAAGAAGAGAAATGAACTGAGGTTCGAAACAAATATGAAAAATTGGAAATGAAAAAAAATGTTTGAAGTTATTAAAATTTCAAATAACTAGGGTGTAAATGAAATTTAAAATTACAAAGAAATTAAAATTACAATTTGAATGGATTTGGATTTGGAAATATATAAATTTTTGTGTATCCAAACAAAGGATTTGGTTCAAAGCCAAAGCCAAATCCAAATCCTCATTAATCCAAGCACACCATAATAGTAATTGTTTCACCCTATGCTACAAAAAATAGAAGTACCTCTTTGAGATCAACCCATTCCCAGGTTTCACTTGGTGTGTTAATGTCATAAACCAATGCATGACGGCCCTGAAAATACTGGGAATCCAGTAAGAAGGAAGTATAAAACACTAGAATGATCTAGTGGTGAGGGGCGTACGTAGATATAAATAGACCTTAGATTCATCAAATCTCTACTTCATTATATAAAAGCCAAAGATATGAAAACCTAAACATACCTCCGCAGGGTTGTAATCAGTTATGACACCCTCGTAAAAATGGTTGTCTTCAGGCCATCTAGTCCAAACTTTCTTCCCAATCAACGGATCAGAAGCGGCTGCTTCAGCAGGTGCATTAGATGGACGGGCATTAAAAGAACTGCGACTTGCCAAATGCCTACCACCAGCAGCCCCAGCAGGATACTGCACAGACTTCACTGAAGACAAACCAGGTAATGACTGAACCTGGCACCAAAATCAGCAGAAAATGTTGTTCAAAAAAGGGAAGCCAAATATGCATGACATTTCTTTGTACTTCTCTATAAAAGAAATGAATCACAATTCTTGGTCCTAAAGCAGCTCCTTGAAGGCAGCTGAAAAAGTACGTTGAAATGCATAGAGCTACTACTAGAGCTGTTAAAGTTCACATCACTTCATGTGCAAAAAAGAAGGTACCGATTGGGATGTCTTCTGTTTCTTACGAGAAGCAGAAACAGTTGGACTGGGCAAAACGTCCTGAAGAGGTTGAGAGCTGCTGCGAATTGAAGGTTGGTAACTACCAGTTTGTCTCCACTCCCTGCTTGCATTTCCCATCACAAATCATTGAATAAAGAAAAAACCAACAGTAGTCCACAATAATTTGGCAACATCATAGCAAATGTTGAAAGCAACACTATACCGTATCCGGTGGATAATTTCATCAGCATTTACCCTTGTAAGAAGCTCTCTGTGTTCATCATCTGAAACCCTTAACTCTTTCCTCAGCTCAGTTATCAAGCCCTCTTTCTCCTGATGAATACATGAAATGGTAAAGATTTAAAGCAGAAAACTACAAAGATAGTATAAGAAGTCATGGAAGAAACTAAAGAAATACCCAAGAAAGAGCATCAGACTGGGCTTTGAAAGCACGCAAGACAGAGGAGTAAGCTTCTTGCTCAAGTAGGTGAATTTGATCCTCCATGTCAATGTACATTCTGAAAGGTGGGAAAGAATCTATAGCAGATACTGCATTGCCAGAAACAGCTAGCTCTCAGAGTTCTGCTTTGATTTAGAGAAAGATGATCATTATCAATAACCAAAGTTGTTTTACAGATAGGAATTCACAGAAAGCTAACGTATATGATGAGAGTAAGAATTTCCATTGTTTTTTGTGACATATAGTGGCTTGTGTATTCAACATAGAAAGGAATGTCATAATATATATTGCCCATTTTTAGGGGCTTCCAATAATTTGAGGGTCCCATACCACAGCGATCACTTTTTAGATTTCCAAATTTTGGTCAATCCTAAAAGTCTACCAAAATGCACTGCTCAAGCTACAAGCAGGGTTCTATTGAATTCGTCACCCAGTATGTCAACTTAAAAGGAAATAAAGGGAGCGGAGGTCAAACAATAAAGATTCAGGATAACTAGGTTCCGAGAATTTTTTCAAAGTTTAAAAATCAGTGTCAATGTGATACACTGGTGGTAACAGACGGATCCCCTTCTTTTTCGTCATCATGATGGTTACGGCATTTAAACCCAGGACATGAAGGTCCAATTACAGACAAACTTTGCCAGTGAGATCCCATTCTTCTATTGTGCAGTAAAGCAATACACTCCCTTCAAGTTCAAGCTTTAGCTCTTTACGAACTAGCTCTATCATTTAGCACACTGCACACCTCGTAAAAGATAAAACTAATCCCAGTAAGAATTTCACAGCATATTAAGTATTCCTGAATTATAATTTCAGGTATTTCATATTTGCATATCACTGCTGCACACAACTTTACCAATTGAAGCATCTTTATATAAAGACAAGCTGGTAAGATTTGTATCTTTATGAGCTTGCCCGGTCTTGGCACAATGCATCCCACTTATAACTGCCCCAGTTAGAATTTTGCAACTAAATTATGTTTGCAGCTGCAGATAAGTATTTGCTCCACCCCAGTGCATTGATTCACATGAGAATTATATATCCAGTTCATATAGAATTGATATACCTACGTTGCAGTGAACGAAATAGTAGCATGAACAACGTAAGAGATACCATATAGGGAATTGGATATAGGAGATAGAATGGTACCTCCGCATTTAGACACCGTATATCAATTTCCGATCCTAGTATTACATAGAACACGCATTTTTCTCCATTCAAAGTCATTCACGAACAATATTTGGATAAACAGAAAATATCTTGCCCATTGTTTCTATCATTTACGGTTTCTTCTTTTTCTTTTTTCTGGTAGACGGTTTCTTCTTCTTCTAATTCCTCTCTATACCCTCTTTTATCAGCTCTGTTGGAGATTTTAAGCTCCCCGTGTAAAAGAATATAAAGAAAATAACCCTAATTCTATTTCGTTTATGTCCTTCAATATCTCACTTAATCAAGACGGACAATAAACACTGCAAGACAAATTAACATCAAGACCGCATTACCGACTTGGACCAACACAAGCTTCAAAAACCCAAACGCTTTCAAACGTTTAGTCAACAGTTACAACGAAAGATAGAATCCTCGCCCGACCACTAAAATCATAAACATAGTCGCAGAACAAAACAAGAAGAAATATTTTCTTGAAGAAATTGGCCGGTCCCAACAGACAGTTAAAAATAAACGATAAAATTGTATGGGGATCAGGTACCAGTACCAGTAACATCCAGCAAGCCTCCTCGCCCTGATAGGATAATTCGAAGCGCGCAAGAAGCACGGCAATGTCAATCCCTATAGATGAAAGTTAGAGCATGTATGGACTACACTGGGCTCTGATTGACGAGGCTGAAGTTGTATACAGTGCGCAACTAAGGACGGAGCAGGCGAAGAGAGCAAGAGCGCACGAAGACTCGAAGAGCTTAGGCGGGTTTTGGGGACAGGGCTTTAGCCTTTTAGGAGACAGATGAACCTGAGACCAATTGGATACACTGACTAGGTTTTATAGAATGAGTTGGCCGGCTGAAAAGGCTGTCTTCCTACGTGTCAAGTCGTTTTATCCCGTGGGCGAATTATTACATTCTTTCCACGCGTTACTATTTTTCCTCTTAAAAAAATTATACTAGACGTTGAGGGACGATGTGTGGAAAAAATGTTAATAATACATAGGTAATGAAAATTGAAGATTTTAAAAAATTATTAATTATTAATAATAATTATTAATTTATTTAATTTAAAAAACTGAAAATATACTTTAACATATGTTTTCAATCTAATTTGTTTGACAATGGTGTTAAAAAAAATTATGTTAAACTCTCATAAGATGTTCTCTTTTGTTATAACAAATAAAAAATAAAACTTAGCTAAGGTAGACTTATTAAAATTAGGGTGTGTCTTAGAATTCAAAAAGCATTTTGTAAAGATATTTATAAATCATCTGCTAACAAAATATTTACATCATATCAAGTAATAATTGAATTTAAAATCAAAACCTTTTAAATTATGCATCAAATCTTTATTAATTGAATAACTTTTGTTATGCATTCTCCATTTATTATTGTAACTGTCCAACAAAAAGCTAAAGATAATTCGTACTGTGACAAATACTAAATAAATAATGAATAAGTCATAAGCTCAGGCGTAACATCCTCAATTTTAAATCAGGTTAATAAAATGTGTGGCTAAAGGAGCTTAACTTAGTGTAATTGTTGTGATTTTAACCTTAAAAGTGGGTCTGGATCGATGACGGGCCCCCCAGGCAAGGAAAGAGGAAAAAAAAGTAAAGGTTTGCTCTCTGTGCCACATGTTGCGGTGCGTGGTCAATTCACTGTGATGCATAAAGGTAAATTTGAATTCAATGGGCTCTTTTATGCCATGCGCCGTGGTGAAGGGCAACATGCACAGCGACGCATGGCCAAAATTCTAATATATCAGCTTTGTATCTGCATGAGAGAAAGAGAGAAGAGGAAGAGAAAAATGAAGAGAAATGAAAGAGCAATGAGAGAGCAGCGCTAGGTGTAACATCCCAATTTAAATTTTAATAGTTAATTTAGGTTAATAGAAATTTTTTTAAAAAAAAATAATAATATTTAGAGGTAAGAAAATTAGTAGAAAATGATTATTAAATCTAATTTAGGATATAATTCTAAATTTAAAAAAAATAAATAAATTTATAAAAAAAATTAATTTAAAAAAAAATTAAATTAATTATTAAATTATTATTATAATAAAAAAAAAGGGAAAAAGGTATGACAAAAAAAAAAGGAAAAAGAAGAGAAAACGAATTTGCTTTCGGCGCCGCATGAATAGTAAGTATAAAATAATAATAATAAAAAAAGGGGGGAAGAGAGAGAAGAAGAAATAATAATAAAAAAAATGTGTGGGACCCACTGAATTTTTATAAAAACTCACCTTCCTTCATTTCCTCATTCATTCTGCGCGCGAGCTGAGGCGGAGAGAAGCGAGTTGCCGGTGCGAAATATCTAAATTTTTAAGGTAAGAGTTTTTAATAGGATATTTAGGTGTGATTTTAAGCTTTTCAAGACTAAGTAAGTGTTCTAAAAATTTTTCTTAGTCATCCTTCTTATTTAGTTTCTGAGTTTGTAGTGGTAGAAAATTTAAGATCTGGAAGAGGGATGAATTTATGTTGAATAAATATGATTTTTGAGGTTGTCAGTAGTATAATAAATGTTCTAGAGTATAAATTTATTGATAATCTTTGAATCTGTGGCTTATGGATCAAATTTTAAACTAGATCTGAAAATATATGTTGATTTATTGAGGTTTAGATGATTATTTGGGATGAGAAATGAATTATTATGGTTATAGGATTATGATTCTAAGCTAGAGACTCAATTTTTAATTTTTGGGTATTTTAGGTACAAATTTATAAAATAAAAAGAAAATTTTGATGATAGAAATTAGTTTAAAATTTGATTTTTAGATTATTAATGTTTATTGATAATTAAAAGAGGAGTTAAAAATTTTACTTAATAGTATTAACTATAGATTTGTATTAAGATTGAGATTAGGAATTATGTTATATTTTTAATTCTATTATTAGAATTATTTTATTAGTTTCAAAAATTGAAACTAATATTTATAAATAATATGTTATTTGTAGATTGTATTACTGGTGAAGATTGTGGAGAGAGAGAAATTTTAAGAATAATTTATTGAAAAAGCCACAAGGTAACCATGCTTTTAATTTATGATTAGTGTTACTTCTTGTTAATTGGGTGATTATTGAGAAAATTATGAATTTTGTAATATTGTATAATTGTGCAATATTATTATGAATTTGTTTAATTATTGTGGGAGGTGTTGGGAGACTTGCTATTATTGTTGTATTTATGTGCCACGTGGTACGCCCCTATTGGAGCTCAATAGGTGGTTTGTAAGGCTCGGGCTAATCTACCTTTGGCCGGGTAATTTAGCACCGAGTGAGGGCTACGGCTCGAGGTTAATGGAGGGATATAAGGATGGTTGTTTGTGTTTATTATAATATTTCTTATATTTGTTGGAATTATATTATTTTTAATTCTCACTTAGTAAGCACACACTTAACTGTTTGTATACACTATCATAAATTGGCTTTGGTTACTGGAACTTTTGAGTCTCATTATGTGGTTAACAATTTTCAGGAGAAGAGCCACGAGTGACACGTAGAGGAGTCCCAGAGGCTTAGTGGTATAGATCCACTGTCTCTTTTGGGTATTTAATTTATGATTTATAATGTGTTATATTGCCAATATTAGGACTTTTTTATGTTTATTGTCAATTATATGAATATATAAATGTAATCATGCCTTTCAAACTATTTCTATTTTTGGTACAATTTGGATGACTGTAATTTTAATATTTGGTTTACTTTGGATTGGTTAAAATGGCATGATTATAAGGCCAAATAACTGGCTTGTGTTGAAAATTGACTAAATTGCTTATTTTACTTGTTGGGAGTATAAGGATGGACAAATGTGATTTAGTTTACTTGTTGGGAGTATAAGGATGGACAAATGTGATTAGCCTAATGGCATGTGGGAGGTAAAAATTTATCTGAAATGTTATAGTATGTGAGTTGAAGCCAATTATAAAATATTTTATATCGAAATTATTGATATAAAAATGTGTTGGGTGGCTGTAACCCAACTATGGTTGAGTTAAATTATTTAAAAAAAAAATTTGGTGTGTTACAAATTTTGGTATCAGAGCTACATGTTTCAAATTCTTATAAATTATGAAATTGTTATACATTAACCTAGTTTATTGGCAATATACATTAGTAAATCATAATACTTCTCCATTATTTTTCTTGTCTTAGTGTTAATTTAATTATGTGACTTCCATCCTTTAGGAGGGGAGAGATGGTGTCCAAAACTAGGAGAGGTGGCGAAATTACCGGTGATTCTATAGAGCCAATAGGAAATGACATACCTTCACTGCCACAACCGGAGCCCACACAGCAACAAATTGGGCAGGGCGAGCCCATACAGTCACAACTAAGGCAGGATGAGCCAACCATGAGGCAAATGATGGATCTACTATATAATCTTAGTGACCGCATGAAGAGACAAGAAGAAGAGTTGGCCGCTTTAAGACAATATAAGGAGAATGACAACCGAGAGGGAAATGGCCAACAAGAAGGAAGCCATACCAAGGTATTCAATGCGAGCCAATCTGCTGATGAAGGCTTACCTCCTTATTCTCACCATGAGACTAGTCCGAAGAATGTGAGTCTCCACTCTGAGCAACAGACATCCACGATCACAAAGATCTGGAGTACTTTTCGTAAGTTTAATCCTCCTACTTTCGATGGAAATCTTAAGCCAGCAGTGGTTGAAGAATGGATAGATCAATTGGAGAGTATTTTTCGTATGGTTGTGTGCACTTCTAATCAAAAGGTGCAGCTGGCAATATTCCTACTACAGAAGAGTGCTAAGAAATGGTGGGAAACATCAGGACCGAAGGATGATTCCTCTCTTACTTGGGAAGATTTTAAAGCCATATTGTTCGAGAATTATTTTCTGAGAGCAGAAAAGGAGGCTGAGTTTCATGCATTCCGCCAGGGTGATTTAGATGAGGATGAATTTATTGAACAATTCTCAGAATTATCTAAATACTCTACTTACCTCCAAAAACATGAAGACACGGAGTGGATGGCTGAACGATTACTAGAGAAGGCGAGGCCTGATCTAAGGGAACAGTTAGCCCCTTTTGAGATCAAGACATTCAGTGAGATGTGCAATAAGCTTCGAATAGTTTCTCGGAGGAAGAGAGAGGCTAGATTAGAAGCTGATAGAGAGAGGAGGAAAGAACCTCATGGGAAGCCCCCTATCCACACCCGACCCATTGGTGGAGTAGAGAAGAGGAGCAGTCAAATCTTTGGAGGTTTTAGAAATCAGAAGAAGAAGGGCTACTATCATAAGGGCCAGAGCTACAGAGGGAATCAGAGTGGAAGTCAAGGGTCCTATAGGAGCCCAGCTACCTTTAATCCTACTCCTAGTGCTGCTAGTAATCAAGCATGCAGTAAGTGTGGGAAGTTTCATTCTGGTGATTGTTGGGTTTGTTACATCTGTCAGAAGCCTGGTCATATTGCTAGATTCTGCTATCAAAACCAAAATAGGGGTAATGATCAGAGACCTACAGTACCAGCACGAGTGTATGCCCTCTCTGGGCCAGAGGCTGCTAACAACCCTAATGCTATCCGAGGTATAATCCGAATCCTTGATAATGATGTTTGTGCTTTGTTTGATTCGGGTGCTACACACTCTTTTGTGTCTGATGAATGTATGAAAAGATGTAAATTGCTGTGTGTACCTTACCTTTTGATGTGAAGATTTCTACTCCTGCTGGTTTGACTGTAAGGACTGCTAAGGCATGTCTAAATGTAGAGGTTGAGTATGAGGGTCGAAAGACCACCATAGACCTCATTTGTTTGTCTTTGTCTGGGATTGATGTTATTGTGGGGATGGATTGGTTGTCTGCAAATGGAGCTGTACTTGATTGTCAGAAAAAGAGTGTGTCACTCTCAGCTCTTACTGTAACCCCTGTAGAGTCCCAAAGTCCTATGTTGTTGTCTGCAGCTCAAGTAGAACAGTGTATAAGAAAGGGCTGTCAAGCTTTTATGATTTTCTTCTCAATCAAGGCAGAGATTGAAGAAGGTGTAGATCAGATTCCAGTAGTAAGAGAATTCCCTGACGTCTTTCCTACTGAAGTGATCGGTTTGCCTCCAGAACGAGAGGTTGAGTTCTCGATTGAACTCGCACCTGGTACGGGGCCTATTTCTAAGGCACCCTATAGGATGTCTCCATCGGAGTTAGCTGAATTGAAGAGACAAATTGAAGAGTTGTTAGAGAAGGGGTTTATCAGACCGAGTGTATCACCATGGGGGTCACCGGTACTGTTTGTGAAAAAGAAAGATGGAAGCCTTAGATTGTGTATTGATTATAGACAATTGAATAAGGTAACCATCAAGAACAAGTACCCCTTACCTCGAATTGATGATTTGTTAGACCAATTAGTCAATTCAGCAGTGTTTTCTAAGATTGATCTAAGATCAGGGTATCATCAATTGAGGGTTAGAGCAGAGGATATCCCTAAAACTGCTTTTAGGACTAGATATGGGCACTATGAGTTCCTAGTGATGCCGTTTGGGTTAACAAATGCCCCAGCTGTCTTCATGGATTATATGAATCGAATCTTCAGGCCTTATCTCGATGAATTTGTTGTAGTCTTTATTGATGACATACTTATTTATTCTCGAGATGAGGTGGACCATGCTAGACATCTTAAAATTGTTTTGGAGATATTAAGAGAGCACAAGCTTATGCCAAGTTGAGCAAATGTGATTTTTGGCTTAAAGAAGTTAAATTCTTAGGCCATGTTGTTTCAGAAGAAGGGGTAGCAGTGGACCCTAGTAAGATAGATGCAGTGATGAAATGGGAGCAACCTCGAAGTGTGACAGAGATTAGGAGTTTCTTGGGTCTTGCAGGCTACTATCGTCGTTTCATTAAGGGTTTTTCACAAATTGCAATGCCCTTGACTAAGTTGACCAGGAAAGATGCTCCATTTATTTGGACGAACGAGTGTGAAGTTGCCTTCCAGGAGCTGAAAAAGAGGTTGACCACCACACCGGTGCTCACCTTACCTGTTCCAACTGCTCCTTATACCTTATATACTGATGCTTCTAAGAAAGGTTTAGGTTGTGTATTGATGCAGGAGGATCGAGTAGTGGCTTATGCCTCTCGACAGTTGAGACCTCATGAGGAAAATTACCCTACTCATGACTTGGAGCTTGCTGCTGTGGTATTTGCTTGAAGATTTGGAGGCACTATCTTTATGGTTCTTCTTTTGAGGTCTTCAGTGATCATAAAAGTTTAAAATATTTGTTTGATCAAAAGGAGCTCAACATGAGACAGCGCAGATGGATTGAGTTTTTGAAGGATTATGACTTTGAGTTGAAGTATCATCCAGGGAAAGCTAACGTAGTCGCCGACGCTCTGAGCAGGAAGCTTGTACATACTGCTCACATGATGGTCAGAGAACATGAATTATGGAGTAGTTTTCATGCAGTAAATGTAGAAGTAGTCGAAAATCGTTTGGCTGCTCTACATATTACTGAATTTGAGAATAATTTTTGGGAAGAAATTAGAATTGCGCAACAGAAGGATGATTATTTGAATAAGATTAGGGTAGAGATTGGGGCTGGAAAGGCTGAACATTTTGATGTGACCGATGATGATGTCGTAAGATATAAAGGTAGAGTGTGTGTGCCTAATGATACTCGATTGAAAAATATCCTACTTGAGGAGGCTCATCAGAGTAAATATACCATTCACCCAGGAGCAACTAAGATGTATCATGACTTAAGACGTGGTTGGTGGTGGCCAAGGATGAAGAGAGATGTAACTGAACATGTAACTCGTTGTTTGACTTGTCAGAAAGTCAAAATTGAGCATCAGAAACCAGCCGGGATGCTACAGTCTCTTGATATTCCAGAGTGGAAATGGGACAGCATTTCTATGGACTTCATTACAGGATTGCCTAGAACATCTTCTGGTCATGACACTATATGGGTAATCGTAGATCGACTCACCAAATCAGCTCATTTTCTGGCTACTAATATCAAGTATTCTCTCGAAAAATTAACTGAAATCTACATAAGAGAAGTGGTGAGATTGCATGGAGTGCCGACAAATATTGTATCTGATCGTGATCCGAGATTCACATCAAACTTTTGGAAGTCATTACAGGAAGCCATGGGTACTCGTCTGAGTTTTAGCACAGCTTACCACCCCCAGACCGATGGGCAAACGGAACGAACCATACAAACTCTTGAAGACATGTTAAGAGCTTGTGCCATTGAGCTTAGAGGTAATTGGGATAGTCACTTGCCATTAGCTGAATTTGCCTACAATAATAGTTTTCATTCTAGCATTCAGATGGCACCTTATGAGGCATTGTATGGAAGAAAATGTAGATCGCCACTGTGTTGGACAGAATTAAGTGAGAGAACTGTTTTGGGGCCAGACATTGTTGATGAGACTACCCAAAAGATTGCTTTAATCAAGCAAAAATTACTCACAGCTCAAAGTAGACAAAAGAGTTATGCGGATAAGAGGAGAAGACCGCTTGAGTTTGAAGTAGGTGACCATATATTTTTAAAAATCTCTCCGGTAACTGGTGTTGGAAGAGCTATTAAGGCTAAGAAGTTGACACCAAGGTTTATGGGGCCTTTTGAGATCTTAAAACGAGTTGGACCAGTAGCGTACCAAGTAGCATTACCACCCCAAATTGCTGGAATACACAATGTATTCCATGTGTCACAACTGAAAAAGTATCAACCAGATCCTTCCCATATAATTGAACCCGAGGAAATTGAACTCAGGGAGAATTTAACATTCAAAGCTGAACCAGAAAGGATTGTGGATTATAAGGACAAGCAATTAAGAAACAAGACCATTAGATTGGTTAAAGTAATCTGGAAGAGCACAACTCCAGGTGATGCTACGTGGGAGACCGAGGACAGTATGCGACGTGATTATCCTCGTCTTTTTGATTAAGTGAGTAGTTAATAGTTATTAATTTTAAATTTTGAGGACAAAATTTTTAAAAGGAGGGGAGAATTGTAACATCCCAATTTAAATTTTAATAGTTAATTTAGGTTAATAGAAATTTTTTTTTAAAAAAATAATATTTAGAGGTAAGAAAATTAGTAGAAAATGATTATTAAATCTAATTTAGGATATAATTCTAAATTTTAAAAAAATAAATAAATTTATAAAAAAATTAATTAAAAAAAAATTAAATTAATTATTAAATTATTATTATAATAAAAAAAAAGGGAAAAAGGTATGACAAAAAAAAGGAAAAAGAAGAGAAAACGAATTTGCTTTCGGCGCCGCATGAATAGTAAGTATAAATAATAATAATAAAAAAAGGGGGGAAGAGAGAGAAGAAGAAATAATAAAAAAAAAATGTGTGGGACCCACTGAATTTTTATAAAAACTCACCTTCCTTCATTTCCTCATTCATTCTGCGCGCGAGCTGAGGCGGAGAGAAGCGAGTTGCCGGTGCGAAATATCTAAATTTTTAAGGTAAGAGTTTTTAATAGGATATTTAGGGTGTGATTTTAAGCTTTTCAAGACTAAGTAAGTGTTCTAAAAATTTTTCTTAGTCATCCTTCTTATTTAGTTTCTGAGTTTGTAGTGGTAGAAAATTTAAGATCTGGAAGAGGGATGAATTTATGTTGAATAAATATGATTTTTGAGGTTGTCAGTAGTATAATAAATGTTCTAGAGTATAAATTTATTGATGATCTTTGAATCTGTGGCTTATGGATCAAATTTAAACTAGATCTGAAAATATATGTTGATTTATTGAGGTTTAGATGATTATTTGGGATGAGAAATGAATTATTATGGTTATAGGATTATGATTCTAAGCTAGAGACTCAATTTTTAATTTTTGGGTATTTTAGGTACGAATTTATAAAATAAAAAGAAAATTTTGATAATAGAAATTAGTTTAAAATTTGATTTTTAGATTATTAATGTTTATTGATAATTAAAAGAGGAGTTAAAAATTTTACTTAATAGTATTAACTATAGATTTGTATTAAGATTGAGATTAGGAATTATGTTATATTTTTAATTCTATTATTAGAATTATTTTATTAGTTTCAAAAATTGAAACTAATATTTATAAATAATATGTTATTTGTAGATTGTATTACTGGTGAAGATTGTGGAGAGAGAGAAATTTTAAGGAATAATTTATTGAAAAAGCCACAAGGTAACCATGCTTTTAATTTATGATTAGTGTTACTTCTTGTTAATTGGGTGATTATTGAGAAAATTATGAATTTTGTAATATTGTATAATTGTGCAATATTATTATGAATTTGTTTAATTATTGTGGGAGGTGTTGGGAGACTTGCTATTATTGTTGTATTTATGTGCCACGTGGTACGCCCCTATTGGAGCTCAATAGGTGGTTTGTAAGGGCTCGGGCTAATCTACCTTTGGCCGGGTAATTTAGCACCGAGTGAGGGCTACGGCTCGAGGTTAATGGAGGGATATAAGGATGGTTGTTTGTGTTTATTATAATATTTCTTATATTTGTTGGAATTATATTATTTTTAATTCTCACTTAGTAAGCACACACTTAACTGTTTGTATACACTATCATAAATTGGCTTTGGTTACTGGGACTTTTGAGTCTCATTATGTGGTTAACAATTTTCAGGAGAAGAGCCACGAGTGACACGTGGAGGAGTCCCAGAGGCTTAGTGGTATAGATCCACTGTCTCTTTTGGGTATTTAATTTATGATTTATAATGTGTTATATTGCCAATATTAGGACTTTTTTATGTTTATTGTCAATTATATGAATATATAAATGTAATCATGCCTTTCAAACTATTTCTATTTTTGGTACAATTTGGATGACTGTAATTTTAATATTTGGTTTACTTTGGATTGGTTAAAATGGCATGATTATAAGGCCAAATAACTGGCTTGTGTTGAAAATTGACTAAATTGCTTATTTTACTTGTTGGGAGTATAAGGATGGACAAATGTGATTTAGTTTACTTGTTGGGAGTATAAGGATGGACAAATGTGAATTAGCCTAATGGCATGTGGGAGGTAAAAATTTATCTGAAATGTTATAGTATGTGAGTTGAAGCCAATTATAAAATATTTTATATCGAAATTATTGATATAAAAATGTGTTGGGTGGCTGTAACCCAACTATGGTTGAGTTAAATTATTTAAAAAAAAAAAATTTGGTGTGTTACACTAGGGCTTGGGAGAACTGAGTATTGAAAGTATTTTGGAGCTCTTAAATATCAAAGGCAAGCTTTTCTTACTTAAATCTTCCTTTCTTATTCTATTTTTTGATGGTAAAGATTAGGGTTTGGTTGATAATAGTGATTTTCAGTCCATAGAAGCTATAGGTTCGAACCCATTGACTTATATAAAGTTAATGGGAGTAGATTGAGCTAAGTAAACTTGGTATTTATGATTTTATAATGATTAGTGGTTGAAGGACATTAAATGTCCGAAATTCTCATATATTTGATGGTTGGGGACAATGTGGTTTCATTAATGACCATTTAGGAGCTCAATATTATTAATGAGAGTTAAAGAAAGCTAAGAAACCTTATGGATATTTTTATATAAGTCAACAATAAATCTTGAGTATTAAGAAATGATAAAGTGTTAGTATAAGATAGCTCAAATATGAATATTGATGTTTTGCATGGCTATGCTTATAGAGTAACTACCATTGGCACCATTCAAGCTTCTTGAAAACTTTAAGAGTGAGTAATTGAGGGGTAAAACTTTTGACCTCTTAAATGTTTGAGGTAACTGGGAGAATTCTATTTTATACTTTTGTGTGTCTATTAGTTTATGAATTTATGACTTATTATTGAAATGTGTAAATTAAAAAGAAATGCAAATATGGCTTGATTTGTTAGAAAATTCACTAGATCAAATTTGTGAGTTTTATGCCTTGTGATGTAAAATTTTTTTGAGAACAAAATTGGTGAATTTTTATATTATACTTATTAGGAGTTCAATGATTTCGCGAATTGAGAAGTAACATGAATCTTTGTTTATAAGAAGTTCAATAATGTTTGAAATAGTAGAGTTCAATAATTTTGAAAGCGTGAATGTACAGTGATTGTGAAGTTGAAGTTCAATAACTTACTTAGTTTGAAGTCCATGAAAATGTGATTAAAAAGTCCAATGATTGTGTAATGATAAAGTTTAATGAAAATTGATAATGTGAAGTTCTATAAATTGTATATGTGTAAAGTATGGCATAAATGTGTATTGCATGATTTTGAGAGGTAAGAGTTTGCCTAGAAAGAGGAGTAGATGATAAAATCTACATGGTAAGACCCTATCCATGTGATGGTTTGCCAGATTGATTATAACTATATTCTCTTACTTATTCAAGGGGGAACTATCCCATTGGTTTAATGAGGGACTCAGATTTAGTTAGCTATCCACCGCTTCAATAAGGAGACTAGTCTAGGGTGTATGACACCCCATAATATGAGAAATAAAGGAAATCGTGTTCTATAAGTAAGTTGGATGCACCTTGATCGGGTAACCCCTCACAAGTGTTTAGGCTACGAGAGTCATAGAATATGGACTATCTCATTGAGTTATAGCCCATAGTTTTATGTCAGAGGAATAAGGAGGATATAAAGAAGGTGTGATCATGCTTATAGTGAGTAAGGGCACCTGTTGTCTATATTAGGTCTTTAATGATGGTATCACAAGTTGAGTTTTATTTTCTTTTAATGTATTTATCAATGATTTGTGTGACTAACTCTCTTTATATGAAAAGTGCTAAAAAGCATTGTTTTTTAAGTAAATGCTATTATGTGAGTGAAACTGTGAATATCTATTTTCAAATGCTTTACATGGGTTAAAGTATTAATATTAATTGCTGCTTGCATTTAAACTAATTGATATGCATTAGTATGAATTAGTCTGATCTTAGTTACTGAGTAGTTGTACTCACCCCATTATCTTCAATATTATAGGGAATAGCTCAAGAGGTGTAGACAAAGGAAAACATCCAAAGGCTTAGGACCGCAATCCTTTTACAGTAGGCCTTTTTATTTTGAATAATTATATTGTATGACAATTTCAATTGCTAATTAGGAATTCTCATTTGTTCCTTACTTGTATTATGTGAATTATAAATTATAAGTGCATTTTGGGCCATAGGAAGTGAGTTGACAAATATTTATTATTATAATAGGGCTAAAATACTAATGCAAGTAAGAGTAGAATATATTATGAAATATTTTAGAGAACTTGATGAAAATTATGGTAAACTCAGCCTCTTTATGATTTTGAGTTTAAGGGTTGAGTAGTGAAAATTTAATTTGAGAGTATTTCATGTGATATGGTACATTGTACAAGTTAACCTTAATGATTTGTATGTGGTAAAATTGGTGTCAGTGGCTATTGGCTGTTATTATTTAGTTTGGACACTTAATTTTGTAAAAATTATTATAAATTTGAAAAAGGTTGTCTAATTTTTATTTTAATAAGAATTTAAATTTGGGACTAATACTATAGGTTAGAGCTTAGAAAGAGCTTTCTGTAGACACCTAGTTCATCTCATTCAAACATTATATGGAGATTTAGGGTGCATAAAAAATTAGCCTTAATGCTGTCAAATTGATAGCTAAATTTACTGTCAAAATTTGTGCAATTGTGCTGTGATGTATAGTGCCATAAGTCACGGCGCATGTCATAGAGGCGAACACGCTACGGTGCATGTTTAAAAGGCCACGATGCATGCTTCAAAATTTTCTAGAAATTCTCTTGTTTCAAATTCTTAAGTAAATGCATTCACTTATGTAATGATCCCATGCTTATATATATTTGTGAATTTTGATTTGTCCAATTGCAAGACTTTCAAAATGATTTTAGTTTTGTAAACTTAGAGTCCCCATTTTGCTAACCATTGAAAATTTTATATTTTGATAATTACTATAATCTCATTCTCTAATTACTTGAGACTTACTTTTAATTACAGGATTAGAAGGAGGAGGATATTACACCAGGGCAAGCTTCAAACAAGACTACATGATGTAACTTTTCCATGGCTTATGAGGAGACTAATTTAATATTTATATGGAGAAGTGCATCAAGAATTGTTGGCATTTAGTAAACACAGAGCAATCAAAATTTGGTAATCACAGAGCAATCAAAAAAGTAAGCTTTGTCCAACCCTTATAAGACCGGTGGTATCATAATAGTGAATGTAGAGGACTAAAATATAACATGAACAAAATGAATTGGGACATGAAAACAAAATGAAAGAAAATGTACCATGATTCACACAGATTATACGTGATAAAAAAACTTTCTTTTTATGGATAATGGCTAGTAAAATCTTTAAAAGATTAAAAAAAACATCAGTTTAAAACTGTCTAGCCGAGGTATTTTCCCTGTGTTGGTCATGCAAAAGTAAATCCATACAGCCACTAGGAATTTCATGAAGAAAGAAAAGATGGCTTGGTCCGTCTTAAGCCAAATGAGCCAAGTAATCTGTAAAGGAATTTGCTTCACGAGACACATAGTGCAGCTCCAGATTTTGTTACTCATAAATATATGCTTGTATTGCCACAATATCATTATAGAACGGATGGTCTTCTACTGTACCTTGGGAAGTCAAATTTAAGGCCTCCAAAGAATCAGACGCCACATAGACATTTCCAGTAGTAATGTGATTACAAACTTCAGTTCCATTCTGAACTGCTTTAAGCTCAGTGATAGTGATTGGTATACTTCCTTAAGTGAAACCAACAATCCATCCCCTTTCAGAATCCTTGATCAGGCCTCCACAAGTAGTGTTGTCTTGCTAGTTAAAAGAAGTATCTACGTCCAGTCATTTCACTTATTGGTGGCGTCCATTAGTGATCTTGATTTCCTTCTTGGACATCGTGCTGCAAATCAAGACTCTAAAGATCACGCTTTTTTAGTTAACTCTAATTTGCATGCATTAATAATGTTTCTAGTATTGCAAACACCTGCATAAAATATGAGTAATAATATAATCTGAGTCATGTCCAAAGACACTATTTTTAAAGGTTATTCTAGTACAGGACAACAACTGCTAGGATTAAGTGAATTCTTTCTGTAAAAGGCAGGGACACAGAATAATGAAAATTCACATGATGAACTCAGGCAACATCACAATTGAAGTAGTGTGATAGAAGAGGAGAGAAATCCTAAAAGCTCAAAAGCTTTTTTTTTTTTGGAACCTATGGCAAGTGTGGCCTTTTATAAGTAGATGCTTTAAAAAATTGGGCAATAAAACTACTTAATCACCATCAAAAGTTGGTTTCAAAGTAAGAATGTGGTTTAATTGGTTTCAAAATAACAATGTAATTTGAATTATATGTTACAAAATAGACTTAAATAATAATTAATATTATAAATTTATGATAATTTCTTTTAAAATACTTATAAATATTTTATAATTCCAACATCTAGTAGAGTGTTTAGTGCCTTCAAATATATCTTAACACCGAGTAGTCTCAAGGAGCTAGCATATATTCCTAAAAACTTTACTCCAATCTAGCTAATAGCATTAATTTAACTATCAAATTATTAATCTATTAAAAGTTAGACACTCATTACAAAACTCACTCCTTTTAATGTAAACACACAACTTGTGTGTCCAAACTATAACACAAGTGTCAAAAGCTTATACTAACTTTTAGATCACATTCACTAGACTATTATGAGCTCATGCAACACACTACAGTCAAACCATTACATATAAATTATAATTTCAACACTTAACCCTTAAACTAACAAAAACATAAAAAGGGGAATGAATTCACATAAAATTCACAAAATAATTATCAATGTTATCATCTACACTATACTCTACTTATACCAGTATTTTAGCTCTATTAAGCTTTTCAATCACATATCAATAGTTCATAGCACAAAATACATAAGATATTTTCAACAATAATGCAAATAGTTAAAAA